TTAACACCCTGTATAACATTAAATCTTGAACCATGGTGCGGAACCTTTTATGCTCGAGTCCGACTCGCACTTGGCCGGTTTTTTTATTTGTTTTATTGATTTTAGATCTGATTATCACCGCGAAGCACTACTTGCGGAAGGGGGTCTAACAAAGATATTTTTATAAATAATTATTATTTTTTTTTTAATTTTGTGGAAGTCAAGTTGAAACATGGCATAAAAACTATGTGATTAGTTTTATAAAACCTTAATTATTATAAAAAATACTCCTCTTTTTCAAGCATATGACTTTATATCACCCCTTATAGGTATAGAGTAACTTCATTATGGTCTTTGTCTTGTTTTATAAATATAATCCACTTTCAAAGGACTTTAATTTTTTCATTATTTGTACTTTTACCTTTATCAATTGTAACGATAAAACATACCTTTCGATATTATTTTTATATCGCAGTTTCAAAACTCCTCATTAAATGAAAAATTAATTACGCAAACGGGCAAATAAACAAACGCTTTTGTTTTTCTTCCTTTTTTTCTCATTAAAACATGCAAAAATACCGTGAATTACAAATTACGACCTTGAACCGCATTGTAGACGATATTTAATTTTCGCTTTTGTATTGAAAGGTGAAAACGTTTGCGTTTTTAAAAATATTTTGAATTATCTTTGGAAATAAGCCAAAAAGAGATACTTGAGTGTTATGAAACGGTTGTGTCTTTAAATACCCGTAGCTAGATAACTTCGTTAATGAAACAACTTATTCTTAGAAAAATACTGTTTTTTTTTAGGAAAGAAAAACCTAAATTTTAAATAATTAAGTAGTTCCTATTAATTTTTTAAAATTATGACAGTACAATAAAAAATTAATGGTAACTAACGGTTGGACCAAATTATCTGAAACGTTGATATGTTGTAGAACTCGATGCTCTGACAAAAAGTGTCCTTTGGCCCCAATCGATTCTATGACTAGTTTTCGATGTACACAAAATGCCAGTTTTTTATAAGCATATTTCTCATAGCACACCTCTTTTATTCGCGTTTGTTGTAGAAAACATGAATTATTGTAATGCGAGTCATTTCATTATTCAGTCATGCTCTAATCCTCCAAGCCCCTCTCTGTCTTATTTGGCCTTTGAGGCTCAACTTGTCCGATTATCATACATAATTAAACCCCTTAAGACCAAACATGTGATGAAGGCGCTTTCGAGTACATTAAAGATTGAACGTGATAATGTTACTAGTTTTGGCGAAGAACATTCTAGATCCTTCACCATAATTTTAAATGTGTATATGAATATTGGTGGAAAACGGAGCAGTCAGTCGTATACAAACAGTTGTGAAGATAAATAGTGAACAATTTAAAGACATTCGAAATATATAAATTATAATAGTATTGTTTTAAAATAAATATTCGTATTCAAATAAATTATTAACAAATAAACTGTTGTTTAAAATAAACAAACGTCACATTATAGTTTATTTGACACGTATATTTTATAAAAAGTTACTGTAGAAATTGGTTAATTATAGGGTGGTTCGGGAATATAAAATATGGTTTTTTTGAAAAATTATTTTTTATGACACGTTAAAAATATGAACAATTATTATTGTACCATGAAAATATAATTTAAGTAATTGCTTTTTGATGATACATCATATTTTATATAGGGTGGCTCATAAATGTGTTACAGAGGTCATTTATTGTTTTTCGGCATTAACGAGTAACACGGTATAAATGATGTGCCTCGAATTTTAAATATATTAAATAAATGTAAGACCTGTCACTCTATGACATACAGTGTGTTAAACCGATTGAAAAAACTGGGAAAAGTTAATAGCTTCTTAGAGAAACATCTTAAGATCTAGCATCAATTTTGTGATACCAATTTGAAGAACATTTCAATGCTCAATGTCAGTTTTTGCAGACTGTAGTGCAATAACTTGTATAAAATTAAGGTTGAAGGTGTGTGGTTGGGATTAATTACGAAAGAAGCAAGAAAACAAGGGTACTTTATGTCGCACAATGTCAATTTAATTAGCCGGTTTCGAAGTTGGTTACTTCATCTTCAGGCTAATCTAAATAGAGTGTTAAGGAGTCAATGTATTAAACAGTGAAAATATTTAATACAATAAATGAAAACTGAACAAAAAACAAAACAGTTAATTGAATGTTAAAGAAGAGGGTTGGTTAATAATAATTTGACTTACCATGACATAGGATAAGTGACATGTCATCATAAAAAGTATTAATGGTCACTGCCTAACTGTGTATTAACTTTATATTAGACACAGTGACCATTAATACTTTTTATGATAATATATTATGCAGCTTATCCGTATTGGATATGTCCTGGTAAGTCAAATTATTATTAATCCACTTCTTTAACCTTTGACTGTTTTGTTCTTTGTTGACTCAAATACATCAAATCCCCTCATGTATAAACCATTGCCGAGTGTTTTTGCTTGGATATAGACAAAGTAAGTAGATTTAATCTTGCTAGGTCTGTCGTCTGTTTACACATATATATTAGCATCAATTTTTATTAATAAAAGTAAATAATGCATTTACCAAATTCTACTTGATGATAAGCAAAATAGATATTAAAAACTTCGTTTAACTATAGTAACTTTGGATACACATATTAGGAAAACTGGTCATAGGATTACAATAAAATTTTGCTCAGTTATATACTGAACTTTTGTTAATGTAATAATTTATAAAGTTTAAGAAGAAACTTTTAAAATACAGGGTGTTGCACAAAAAACTTCTTTTCTCATTTTTTAAGTTTTTGCAATCGGTTTTTACACCCTGTATGACATAGACTGACATGTCTTACATTTATTTAATAGGTTTGTTCCAACTTGGTGTTTGGTACTGTTCTTGTATCATACCATTGTATTTAGATCAACTAGTAGAACAATACCAATGAAAATTCTCTTGGAGGACAATGGACAATATCAATAAATGGCAGCAAGCTCCGTGGTGTCCAAGTCATGTCTCTGACAATTTTGTCGTCTTCTACCGAGCTATCGAACGGTTGTCGAAACTGAATAACGAACGTAATTTCTCTCTTTACTAATAGATGGAACGATAATCGATTTATAATATTTGTTTTAAAAATGAGATATACGATTTTAATTATGCTTGATGGACATTTAGTTTAGAGAATATAAACAATATCAATTTAAATTTGGCAGTCTAAGCAAATGAATTTAAAAAGTAAGAAAACTTTATGTATATAGAATTCTATACGCAATGATGGAGACAGCGCCTAGCACACGAGCCATTTTGATGAAGTTCTGTACAGTTCTAACAGATGTCGCGGCAGAATTGCCTCCAATGAAACGTCCATAAGGTTGATCTACTAGGAAATCTAAATACAATGATCATACCAACGTCGGTTAATGAACGATGTACTGCGCAAGCGCAACTTTGTGATGGTCCCTAAATAGAGAATATAAAAAGGAAAAATTCTAACCAAAATTTTCAAAAACAAAATAAAATAGTTTTTGTTTTATTGATGTTGTTAATGATTTTTTATTTTATTATTCTAGATTCTAGGGCACAATGGAAAATAATTGTAAATAATGAATACAGGGTGTCCCGAAATTAGACGGTCATATTTTAACAGCGTAATCTACATCCTAAAATAGTAAAAGTTCATATAAACATAGGTCCGAAAACGTTTCTTTTCCGAGATACAGGGTGTTACAAGTGAAGTCGTGATGTCACATTTTTCTAAATATTTTCTAAAATTTCCTTTAGTCACCGGTTTTCCAAAGTAAAAAAAATAATAAAATTATTGATTTCACAGGCATACTAATTATTGTTTACACTTTCGGATAACTTATCATGAAATTTTCAAATACTTTTCTCTTGAAAATGGTGCTTCCTAGCGAGATGCAACAATAGTAGCTTTATTATAAAGAAAATATTGGTTTTCCAAATTTTATAGTCAAAAATGTTAAAAACTGTCAACAAAAAAAACTTAGGGCAATTTTACCCTAAGCTCCCCCTAATTTACCCACCTATGAAGATGATCAAAAACTGGGGTCCATTAAATAGAACGTAAAAAGTTAACCATTTTTACCAAATTTCACTTAGTAATCTTTAAACGTTTAGAAAATATTTACAAAAGTGTGTCATCAGGACTTCACTTTTAACACCCTGTATCTCGGAAAAGAAACGTTTTCGGACCTATCTTTATATGACCTTTATATGAACTTTTACTCCTATTTTAGGATGTAGATTACGCTGTTAAAATATGCCCGTCTAATTTCGGGACACCCTGTATATTATATTCTGTGTAGTTTTATTACATTTATCATTTATATAACCTTTTTTTTTTAATAATTTTGTCCGAATTTCTTGAAATATTTCAATATTGACTGTTTTTATTGTCCCTTATAGACAGTGTGTACTTAAAAAGTTAATATAGGAACAAGTGGATGTCCAGATTACTGGGTGTGTGAATTAATTCTAAATCATCATCAAAAAAATCACTGTCTCCTATATCACCCATTTTACAAATATTATTTATAAACAGTATTTTCTAAATAAAAATGTATATCGTTTTATCTAGGTATCTATCAAAATTCTGTATCAACCCGCACATCGTACAAATTAAGTTGGAACGCTTAGAGTGTAATACGCATGCGGTGTACCGTTACTGAATGGTTTTGTATTGAGCTGGAACAAACCTATATTTTTATAAATTTTATATTATGAAGAATAATATGTGGTATAAGCTAGTTCTAAAATTATCAAAATAATCACCAATACATTTTTCGTTTTTTTAGTAATATCACTTACGTTTATGAATGCTCGTGAATACTCGTGATATTTTCGGATTATAAGCTTAGTTAGGGACATTTTAATTAGTCGGTAGTACTATGACGAAAGACTAACGTCACTGATGACGTGCAACGGTATTTTCATTAAAAATACTATATGAAAGAACAATTTTGTTAAATATCGCATTTTATTTTTCTTTTTTAGGTCTTAGACAACGTCAATCCTTCGGACCGCCATTATCCAACACGAGACTGTCTTTCGGTTCGACGAAATCACCAATGGTAGATAAAAATTTCGCCCAACCCTCGCTGCCAACCCCTTTTTCGCAACCCACGGTCTCGGGCGCTTTATCCGCCCGACCAAATTTAGCTCTTCCGACCCCATCAAGAACGCACGCCATGATCGCCGCATCTCCGCAAGTCGGGATCGGTACTCCTCTACCATTGCCGAAGAACATTTTACCCAGCAACAGGAGCGTCTTGGACAAAATGGTGGATTATTTGGTCGGAGATGGACCGTCGAATAGGTAAAAATATAACAGTTTTAATTGCAACGTAATAATTAAAAAGATGCAATTAAATCCCCGACATAGTGACGCCAGCTAAATATTTAAAGAGGTTTTGTCTTCTAGGTATGCTTTGATTTGCAAAAAATGCTCCAGCCACAACGGCATGGCGTTGAAGGAGGAATTCGAATATCTGTCGTTCAATTGTTGCTACTGTTCGCAATTTAATCCGGCTAGAAAGAAGAAACCGAGCGGGCCGAAATTCGAAACGTCGCCGCGACCGTCAAGAATTGCTCAGATCGAGGATACCTCGGAATCCGACAAGGATACCGCCGATTCGGAACCGGAGGAGCAAGAGACCATGAGTACCGAGAGACGGAGGTAAGTTATAGAATTTTAACTTAATTTAGTATATTTGTACACTAATTTACGTCTCAACACTAATTTATATCTCTTTTACTAATACACGAATTTATAATGACAATATGTATCTGAACAGAACGATCTTTTGACTAAAACTAAATTTTGAATGGCAAACAACCTATTTATGTTATTTACAAGTAAAAAACGGCCAGAACTAGAACATACATCGGCGGATTCATTATTTGCTAGACTTTAGGTTGTCTCCTGGTGTTTCGTCATCGTTCTAGATCGGATGATTCACTTCGAACTGATTACGATCATAGGTGTTCCATAGGGAGGGTTTGGGAGGTTGACCTTATTTCGTTGAATATTCTTAGTAACGGGAAAAAGGAGGTCGTAAAAGGACGAAATAAGGCAGAGAGGGACTTAAGGGATTAGAGCATAACCTGGAGTGGTCGAAAATGGTTTGCATGAACGACTCTTTTGATTTCGCACTTTTAAGCGACTCGATAAACTTTAATACTGAGGGTAACCATGTATGAGTTCAGTTTATTTAAAGCGAGTGACAAACTACTACAGTCAAAACGTACTCGTATTACGTAAATCACCAAAATTCATTAATGTTGGCGAAATCACCTATTACTCTATATGATTTCGCCGAAAGTTCCTTTAATTTTATACGATTTGGGAGATTTCATCATTGTGCATAATTTCTAATTAATAATCTATAAAATTTTTATAGCCTTCGGAATATCTCTCAATTGTCGATTCTTTCACAATTTTCAGTATTATACATATTTTTTTATGTTTTACATAAACAGAGCTGGGCAGAGTACTGCGTTAAAGTACTGATGAGTTCTTTACAATGAGTAGCTTTACAATGAGTAGCTTTACAAAGTACTTATAAGTATCTGAGTATGAGTAATTTATCTGAATAATACTCAAAGCAAATGAGTTCTTTTGAAAATTTTAAAGAGTACTCGTGAAAAAATTGAGTAACGAGTATGAGTACCTTTCCTGTTTTAAATAAATAATTCTAGTTAGTGACTCAAGTTTAGAAAAAAAGAATTATAATAATTATTAATAGGTTTGTTCGTAGATACAGTTTCCGACGGTTGGTGATTCTTTTATGATGCGCATGCGCGATTTCCGAACGCATTTTGTATGGTTATGGATTCTTCTCTACCTATTCTCGTGAGATAGATACAGATTTAAGTGAACGGACAAAAAAACAAATTAATTGAAAATTGACGTTGAACGCAGTTGTATGTGTCACAGAATAACCAAGTATGTGTTTTGTTTGCCGTTTTCCTATATTCCAGAAACCACAAACAACAAAAACTAAAAAACAATTATTCAAATGGACGAATAATAAACACATAACCAGACATACATTTCAAGCCAAACAAATGTCAAATTGTAGGTCATTAAAAATATTTCATGTGCGCATGCCTAGGATTCAAAATCCGGAGAATAGTCGGGGATTACTCCAACCGTTCCCAATCAGTTGGCAATCACTTCATTTGTTTCTAGGAACGCCAAACTAACAAATTGGAAACTATCAATGATTCTTCTACGAACGCAAAATATTCAATGCGCATGCGCTGTTCAGTTGGAAACGGTTGTGAATCGCTCTACGAACAAACCTAATAGTAAGTCAGTAAGTAATAAACAAAAAACGAAAGTATCACTCATCTTCTATAAATTAGTTACCATTAACGTGTTTAATGTTAAAGTAAAGTAATAAAGGTATTAGGTAGGGACAGAGATACAGATAGAGAATACTCAAAAGAATAGTCATATTTTAAAATATATGTTGCCATGATTCCGTCATTTGAAATATTCTTATCTTTTCCGTCCTGTATCGTTGACGTCGATAAGTTATTCGGAATTGGCTTGGGTTTCTGATGCCGATGGTAGTGGGATTTTTAAAAATTAATGGAATTGTCAGATATATTTTTGGAAGACGGACGAATGGGCTTTAGAATTGTCAGTTAGGAAATTTAAAAAAAGTCTGAAAATATTGTTGTGCACCACCCTGCAGTAGCCTGCGGCTATTATAGGAATCGTACAGATAGAAAAAGAAGTGGAATGTTACTCATCGCCCTACAGTGTGCTGCGGTCGCCATAAGTAAAAGTACAAGTAGAAGAAGATACAATAGTCCAGAAATGTCTGGAAATGTCATTACCCGTCAAGAATATTCTAGACGGCAGTTCGAGAAGGGTCAAGCTATATAAGGATGATCCTGACGTCAGTTTTCAGTTTTATGATAAACATATGTTAATGTTATCAGTTATATTGTTATTGTAAAAGTTGAGTGGACATAAATTGAGATACCAACAACCTGTGTAACAATATTATATTGAAGTTAAGATAGCTATTAAAGTTGAAGATTTTATATCGTGGGCATGAAATAATAAAAAAATAAGAATAAAAGAGAAGGATGAAGAAAGTTTTATTTAAATTAAAGATAGGTGTGAATGGAATAGGAAGGAGAACTTAGCAGGAAGGAGAGTTCGTCAGAAGGAGGAGTAAGTGGAGAAAGAAGAGGAAAACAGCAAGAGGAGATCAGGCAGGAGAACAGGAAGTACAAAAAGTCAGGAGTTAGAGCAGAAAGGAAAAGAATAGGGAGCAAGAAGAAAGAAGCGAAGCGGAAGATTTAGTTTTTTTCACATTTAACATTTATTGATTAGTATTAATTTTAGTTATTTTTTTTTAATTTTTGTGGGAAGCCAATGGAGCCATAACCCTAAAACCTCTAGGATATTGGAATGGTTTAAACTTTCCAAGGTGGAATCATTACAATATATAGGTATGCGCACATCGGTACTCGTACTTGTTACTCATCAGCTGTAGGAATAAAATGTACTGAGTACTCTAAAATATAAAGTACTCGAAATTTTTTGAGTATGAGTCCCATCAGGATGAGAGTACTCACGAGTACCTATTAATGAGTACTCTGAGTACAATTTTGAGCACAATTTACTCGAGTACTGCCCAGCTCTATTCATAACTTTCGATGCAATCTCTTTTTTAAATTTCCGACATTTTGTATTAATTTTCGATTATTTTTTATTACTTTCGATACTTTTCTAATTTTCAATATATTTTTTACTTTTTGATATTTTTCATAATTTCCGATATTTTTTGTCATCCATATTTTGTTTTCAATTTTCGATATTTTTAATTTCGTAATGGCTAGCCGACCGCCGGCGGTAGTTGAATTTAATAAAACAAAAACCCTCTTCCGGTGGCATGGTCTTCTCACATATAAGAAAATCTAAACTGATTTGTTGATGAGGGCGGCATGCTATCAGAGTATTGATAAGGCCGCCGGACGACGGTCCACTGTATTTGAAACATTGAATGCCGCCGGAAAAAACTCTGGTATCGGGGACAACACTAATCATTTGTAATTGCTGTGGTGGGAGGTGTTTGTGTGAATGCGTCTTGTTTGTTTTCATTTACGCCGTGACTAGCAGTAGTATTTTATAAACCTTAGAAGCAAATTTTACATACATTAACAAATAATAATAATGCCGTGACAAAAAGAAGACGAAGCAACGACTTCTCGTTTCAATCCATACCTGGCTACGCCGACCGGCATAAACACCAACGGCCTGGACACAGCTCATCTAATCTGTCAAAAGAAGACTAATGTACAAATAAAACGCGTATGATCATTTGCCACAAAAATGTAGACGATTTTACAAGTATTTTTTCTTACCACCGGTATTCAATGTTTTAAATACAGTAGACCGTCGTCAGGCGGCATTTTTCAATTCACTGATAGCATGCTGCCCTGATCAACAAATCAGTTTAGATTTGCGGCGGCTTTCCTGTATGAAGAAGACCATGCCGCCGGAAGACGGTTTTCTTTTCAAAAAATGCAAGTACCGCCAGCGGTCGGTTAGCCAGTATGTTTCAATTTTCGATATTTTTTAATTTTCGATATTTTTTATAATCCTCGATGTTTTTTCATAATCGCCCGCTATTTTTTTCTCAATTTTCTATACTTTCTTTAATTTTCGATATTTTTCATTACTTTCGATACTTTTCTAATTTTTAATATTTTAATTTTCAATATTTTTTATAATTTCCGATTTGTTTTATAAGTTTCATTGTGATCCATGTGTTTTGAATTTTCGATATATTTTAAAATTTAATTTTCGATATTTTTCATAATTTCTGATATTTTTTTATGACTTTCATTGTAATCCATGTTGTTTTTTTTAAATTTTCGATATTTTTTGTTTTACTTTTCTATTTATCTTGTTAGATCATCGTCAAACACAGGCACGCCTAAATCCGTTCCCGCTAGCGAGACAACCAGAAACTCTTCATCTCCCGAAACGGAACGAAACTCCGACTTCGATCGACTGTCGGACTTGGATTACAGAGAAGGCGGGGATGCCCCCGTCGTATCGCCAACCGTTAGAATTTCCCGACAGGTATCTCTCAATCCGTTCGAGTGCGACGAAACTCCCATGGACGTCGATCGGGACAAATCCACGACCGACGTAACGGATAACAACGAGTCGTAAACAGACGCAAGACTGAAGTTTAATATTTTTAAATTTTAAGGTTAACGAGACAATGTTTTCGGCGAATCTTTGGCGGTCATTGGTTTACCAAAATACTGTTGTTTGTTATATCAGCAATACGAGTTGATCGTGAGCATGTAAGATCCATAATATAACTTCCCACGAATCTTTGTAGTCTTGTTTTTTTTATGAATAAAGGATCAAAAAGATTCAGGTTCGTTTACTAAGCAGGTTTGAATATTTAACAGATAATCTGCATATACCTCATTAATTTTCTGCTTAACTAACGCTCTAAGTTTCCTGAACTCCTGGTAATAAGTAATATTGTTTGTTTTCTTAAATTTCCCATGGACCGTTTTGAAAAATAAATGAATTTTTGCGGATATCTTGATAACGGTCGTTAATAAGAGTAAATGTTAGTGACCTTTTTTGCAAACCGTATTATTCTTAACAGTTTTGTTTTTTAAAGGTTTTCTGTAAAATTCGTATTTCAAAAGTTATTGCTGTTTTTCCATTATATGAATTTTGTGTACCTAGTTGTTTTAACAGTATTTCCCAGATCATCCTTGCTAAGTGCACATGGCATAGTTATAGTTAAGAAAGGAGGGAAACTCAAAGTATTTATGAATTATACAACATTTGTGCAATGGATAACTTACTCATTATAGTAGTTTCTATTCTTATATTTTCTTTTAAAAATACCTAAATTCGATTCAGTTTTCAATATTTATCGTAATTCTAAATGTTTTTCATAATCTTAGATTTTTTTTTAATAACTTTCGATAGGTACAATCGATTTTTGTTTTAACATTTTGTTTTTCTTAAATGTCAAATCTATTCTCAATTTTCAATATTTTTTCTTAATTATTACATAATTTTCTGTTTTTCATAATCAGATATTTTCGATACAATTAATATTTTTTCTCAATTTTCCGAGATTATACATAATTTTCTATTTTTCATAAGTTTTAATACTTTTTCAATTTTCGACTTTTTGTCCTAATTTTCTGCTTTTTGTCTTAATTTTCGGCTTTTTGTCTTAATTTTCGGAATTTTGTCCTAATTTTCGATATTTTTCGTTTTCATAATTTCAAAGTTTTCAATGTTTTTCTTAATTTTCGATATTTTTCACAATCTTCGATGTTATTCATAATCCCGATATTTTTCTGTCGATGTTGTCGATATTTTTTCTCAATTTTCTATAATTTTCTATAATTTTCGATCTTCATAACTATCGATTTTCTTTACTATTTTTAATGTTTTTTTATAAGTTTCGATGTTTTTATAACTATGAAGGTAGGCGATATTTTTCCTTAATTTTCGATATTTTACAGTTATACAATCTTCGATCTTTTTCATAATCCCCCGATATTTTTTCCCCATTTTCTATAATTTTCTTAATTCTCGATCTTTTTCATAACTTCTGAAATTTTTCTTAATTTTCAATATTCTTCCTAGTTTTCAAAGTTTTTCATAAGTTTCTTATATTTTTTATAACTATTGATGTAGTTGATATTTTTCCTAATTTTTTGATATTCCTAATTTTCGATATTTTTTATAATCTCCCGATATTTTTCTGTTATTGTAGGTAGTACTTTTTCTCAATTTTCTATAATTTTCTATCTTTTACATAACTTCCGATATTTTTCTTAATTTTCGTCATTCTTCACAATTTTCAATGTTTTTTCGTGTTTCCAGTCTAACTATCGATATATAGTTTTCCTAAATTTTCGATATTTATTTTTAATTTTTGGTATTTTTTAGTACTTTGATATCTAAAATTAATTTTGAGGGAATCAGAAAATTTCTGAACATTCTTAGCAATCAGAGTATTGTTTGATAATTTCAAATGTCTATTAATTATAGTCATTTATTTGAAGTTTTCTTTGTTAGGAATCCTATACTTAGTAAAATCCTAGTTTTTTTTTGTAGAAAAATAAAAATTGCGGATTATAAAATTTTGTCACCTTTTACGTTTAAGGTGGATCTTAAAAACGGTTCCCATTTTTAATTTTCGATTTCAAATGCGTTCTCAAATAGCTAATATTTTTTTAAAGAACATTAAGTTGTCTGTTATTTTTGTTTTAAACATTTCACTGTAAAATTGATAGTTCAAGAGTTATTAAGCTGCAAAATTGTAGTTTTTACTACATGTGTCATCGTTAACAATTTTGTAAGACGGTCGGTGACTGGACAGTATTTTATAGCTACATGCACTTTGGTAAACCAATGAACTATGTAAATATTAGCGAAAGCTCAAATTTATAACCTTTCCATTCTTTTAACTTCTTTTATTTACTTCCCTTAATTTACAATAATTATTATCGTATCGTTACAAACCAACTAACTGCCAGGTTTTCGTGAAATATCATGATATTTTCATTTTCCTTCTTGAATTCGAAAAATAAACATAAATAATTGTTTTATATCATTTTTACTTATTACTAACCAAGAAACTACTAGCAAATAGATATTTTGAATGTACGTGCGCGTTCCTTTAATTTAATATTTATGGTTTTTCCGCTAAATTTACTTGTAAACGTGTAAACATTCGAATTTTGACAATTTAATGTCAAATGTCTACCTAATTTAGCATTTTGACAACTGAAGTAGTTGACCATCAATTGTCAATGCAATTTTGACAATTAAACTTCAAATGTCAATGCAATATTGACAATTGACCGTCAAATGCCAACGCAGTCTACTATTTTGACAACTGAAGCAGTTAAATGCCAATGCAGTTTTGACGGCTGAACGTCAAATGTCAAGGCAGAGTACTATTTTGATAACTGAAGTAGTTTAATGTCAAATGCCAAAGCAGTTTTGACAATTGAACGTCAAATGTTAACGCGGTCCACCATTTTGACAACTGAAGTAGTGGAACTTCAAGGGTATGGTCCGTTATTAACTGACTACTAACCACTAGTAACCAGGAATTTCAAGCAGAGCTGTTAGTTTTGGACCGAGTAACCGATATTTCGGTTAATAACGGACCATACCCAAAATGTCAATGCAATTTTGACAATTTAACGTCAAATCTCAACGCAGTGGTACCATTTTGGCAATTGAAATAGTGGAACGTCAAATGTCAATACAATTTTGACAGCTAAACGTCAAATGTCATCCTGTCGATCGTTTGTTAAACGCGCCACGCAAAATATAAGAAAATCTTGTATATTATTGTTCCGGTGTCAATTTTTGTTATTGTAAAATTTGTTTAATAATTGAGAGCAATAAATGGTCGAACTCAATTTTGTATATATTTAATATTTATGCATTTTTGTATCATAATGGTTTATTTTTTTGTATCATCGTGTTGGTATTGGATTGTTGAGTTCATTGATTAAATAGGTGCCTTGTCAGATGGATTTTATACTCAATAAAGCTTTCATTAATGCAGAAAGGAGTTTTTATTTTTATTATTACCTGTAGTCCAAAATTAATCCATATTCAGTACAGAAAAATATCAATGGTATTGTATTGTTAGTATTAGTTTTTTTTTACTTTTTAACCAACCCTTTATATTATTGAATATAAATGACATATAGTGCACCAAAATGCAGATGTTAATTACGTTATTTATTATTTCCTTAATCTTCATTTTGCAGAATCTACATCAGTTTGTTTTCCCTAATCTGCCGCCTAATTCACAAAAGATTTTTTCTAATTTTGACATATAAAGTGACATGAAGGTATTTTTAGCGTCATAAACGGATTATGTTATTCGATCATGTTCGTTTATCCCTCCACCACATAGTATATTTTGGCGCGAAAATGTAAAATCCATGCTGTTCTGGATACCTATTATCTAACTCATGGGAGCACTCCCATGCCAACGTTGCCAAGTCGACAGAATAACTTTGATCTACTATTTAAGGACCCATCCACCGTTGTGTTAAACGAAGTTTAAAATGACATTTTTACATTAACAATGTCATTTTAATCTCCGTTTAACTCAACGGTGGAATCGGCCCTTAGTAGTTCAAATTTGCTTTGTGATAAATACGGACCTAATCTGGCAAGCCCGCAATTCTCCCTCCCATAGTATAAAATCCGACCTTACTACGCATGTACCTGGGCTAAAAGTGAGTAAGCACAATATACCCACCTAAGAGTAAGAGAGCAAAATATATGGGAGCACTCCCATGGGAGCGCTCCCATGACTTAGTGAATAGCTATCCTGAAAGTGGACAGTCAGTTGAAGTAACAATTTTTTATTACTTCAATTACTCGTGTGTGTAAACCACGTGATTTTTCCTAAGAGTAAAAACAGTTATTTTATATTAATATTTAACATGCCTAAATATATTGTCTAAAGATTACAACAAATTATGTTTATGCTATTTCAATTTATTTATATTTACTATATTTTAATTGTTGAATAATTTCGTCACTTTCCTCTAATTCAATTTCAATCTTATTTAATTTAAATTTTAAAATTAAAGCCATCTTTTATACCGTCTCTAGTCATTTGTCAAACACATGAATTAACATAACCGCCTGTGGATGAGATCATGTTCGAGTATGCTAAACAGTGACGTCATTACAACCTACTCTCCGGTCCTTAATGTCGGCCAAAATGGAAGATCATGCCTAAATAACATCATCTACCATAAACGTTTATGTTGGTTTATGCAGCGAAAAATACCTTATGGTTTGTAATCGCATATAAACTCTTATGTTCTGTCAATAAAATGATGCATATGCAATTAACAATACAAAAAAGTAAGTATGGTTGCTTAGATCTCAGTTATTTCTTACCAAAACACAATTTTATAAATATTCTGGTCAACATTGGAAAATATAATATGTTAAGTAACAAGTTACGAAATGCCGTTTTATGTAACTGGTTTCATAAATAGCTATTAAAAGTACGTGCAACTCATAAATATCGGGACATAAATAAAAATGTTCTATACCTGCTCGCATTCCTGTTATCCTGATACAAAATCTGCCATTAAAATTCGTTAAAAATATCACAATTTAATAATTTTCCCTTTTTTTAAATACCTGCTATATTTCGCTTCTTTTTTGCCCTGATACAAAAATTCGCCATTAAAATTAACAAAAAATTCATCGATTTAATAATTTTCACTAATTTTTTAAAATACCTTCTTTATCTCCTAGCTACTCTGTTATCTTAATACGAAAATCACAGTTCCAAAAGTTCAATTTCGTGAATAAAATTTTGATATCAGGGTAATAGAAAAACGAGGAGGCATTTTAAAAATATCGGGAAAATTAAGTTCCATAATCAAAATACTGTACAATTTAATGTAACGCAAAATTTAATTCCTCGCTTCTCTGTAATCTTAATACGAAAATCAGAAGAACGAGGAGGTATTTTAAAAAAGTTCCATAATCAAAATACTGTACAATTTAATGTAACGCAAAATTTAATTCACAAAATTGAAACTCTCTGGAACTCGTATCTTTGTATCAGGATAACAGGAGAATCAGGAGAAATAGTATTTTAAATCGGCGAGAAAATATTTTTTTCTCGTCTTGAGGAAAATTTGTGTGTATATATAAAAGAGAACACGGAAAAATATGGCGTGCAATCTGTTGCTTTCTATACTTAAGATTTTAATTAGTTTCCTATTTATTCAATTGAGGAAGTAATCTACAAACAACAGTTTTTTAAAAAATTGGCAATATTGAGTCAGCAGTGCTCTATACTGGAAAATCACCGGCAGTTGTGTGACGTGCATATTATACTTTATGTTCTGTTGCTGATAGGTTATGTATTATTTTAAAAGTTTGTTTTTTTTTCAGCTTTCTACTTTTCCGTTTACGCAAATTGAAAAACTTCTCAAAACATCATTTTTCAGAAACACAATTACTAATAGTTGAATTATTATTTTTCAATTTATATATATAGAGCAGGGCAGATAGTTTATAGCACTTTTTGGCGCTCGTCTCTATCTTGAGTTGTCTTTAAATGCATTTTTCCACATACTTTGATTACTATACGGGGCAAGAGAGAGGTCCGACACGCCCAACATAGGGCGCGACCATTTTGAACTCTATGACACAGTTTATAGCTAAAGAATCAGATCGCTCACTCTGCGTCGGCACTTTTTATCTCAATGTTCCAGTTTATACACTGCGCAACTCGGATAATACAATATATGACAACCGCCTGTAATAAAACAGCAGTCTTATGCGTATCCTGAATTTGTATCCCTGGAGTGGATGTTATTTTGGAACTTTCAACTGGTCCGAGAAAAGAAAATCAAAGTATGTGCATTTTTCCAATTTTGACATATAAAGTGACATTTTTTGAAATTGCAGCAAGTGTCAAAATGATCTACTTTATGCAACCAGTTGCATAATGTTGAACATTATGAAACTGGTTTCGAAAAATTCAATACACGTCACCAGTTGCGAAAAGAAAATAAATAAAAATAAACCTTTTTTTGTTTTAAAATAAATAATATACATTATTATTAAAAGTTTATATCAAAGAAGGGAATATTGACTTATAAAAATGGAATTTGGTTAAACGTACAACCTAGTAATAATGTTGTTTTGGTCCTTATTTTCATTAAAAACAGCACAAAATAAAACAATACACGACAAAATAACCCACTTTCTCAAAACCTAAATAACTTAACAAACAAAGGGGTATATTCTGTAACAATTCCTTTGGGGTCTATTCTGTAACAATTCCTTTATATTTAACGGCCTTTAAAAATATGTTCGTATTCGTTAATTTACTTCTATCATTATTTAAACAGATTTCTTTAAGATAGTCCTCTAATGTATTTTAAAGATCCGTTTAAATAGTGACCGAATTAAAGAAGAAAATATTTTTAAAGGCCTTTAAATATAAAGGAATTTTTACAGAATAGACCCCATTGGGGTCTATTCTGTTTTTTCTTGTAGCGCGCTACATAAGTCAATGGATTGCAATACGCTCCGCAAGCAGGATATAGGACGCGTAGTCTAAATAAAGGCGATTGACGTTGTACATTGTTTGCTGTGTGCAATTATTTCGTTTTTGTTAGACAATAAAGTGCATTATTTGTAAGAAGATTGTGCAGGATGGTTACAAATCTGTGATACAAAGGCCTAGAATACAAGGTTTGTTATCTTTAATACCAAGTGCTAAAAAAAGACAAGACAATGTTATTGCTAAAGAAATTTTGTCCAAAAAAAAATGGTATTTTAAACGGCGAAATTAAAATATCATACAGACTGTCGTAAATCTTACACAAGTTCTAATAACATTGATCGTTATTTTCAATCAGATAGTTTTAATATTAGAATTGTGTGCCTTTTATTTGCAACAAAAAAGAAAAAGTCTGATATCGGTTCAAACAGGTAATTTAAATTTTATTTAGTCTCTACCTTTGCTACATATATTTTTAGGTAGTGGAATAGCTGTTCGTGTCATAGAGCTTATAGATGCAATGCTATTTGCCGAGCTATAACAAGAAATCGATGATAAAGAAGATATATATGTACCTAAATGTTTGGCGAAGGTTTCACCTGTGAAAAAAATTACATTTGGGCAAGTATTGATAATTTTGACCTCAACGAAAAAACCATTGATGGAAAAAAGAACAACACATGCTATGGCCATGGTTGTGTTTCAAGAAAAACAGTCTATACAACCAATTAGGGACCTAATTAAAGGAGTTAAATTTGCTTTAAGCATAAAAGAAACGAACATAAGTCTGTAGCGACTTGAAAAATATAATAAGCCTAAACCCCGTCCTGTACTTCCTCGAGAAAAAATGAATTTATTTTGGCGATTGTTGAAATTACTCCAGAATAAGTATTCCTTTCTGAGATGGAGTGATGTTCAAAATATATAAAAATAATATTCCAGTTTCATCAATTACATACCTTTTCTTCTTCAATTCTCCCCCAACAGAATTTGACACAATTTTTACCGCAATGGTAAGGTTAGTACAGTTAGCAGAAAAACTGAATCAGGATCATATTGTAATAACCGCAGACTTAGCAACTTATTCCAAGGCGCGCGAAATACTGTGGAACAAACCTCCAGAATTGTCTGGCAAACAATGGCATTTATTACAAGTATAGGTTACATTTTTGCTGATGGTGGACTTACTTCGATTCTTGTCGAAACAGATATTTACGCAGAAAATTCTTGTCATCTAATGCTCGATGGAAAGCTATTCGAAGCCTAACATTAGCAGCCGGTGCAATGTCTCGATTGTTTTCACTAAATAAATGGTACGAAGAAAATAAAGGACAAAATTTGTTACTACTGAAAAAAGAAATGGACAGAGTAATAAAATCAAAAATTGACGAAGCAGGTAACTAAGGTCTTTCTTACCTTCTTGAAAATCACAACAAAGTTGTAGCAGAATTTGTAAACGTGGGTTGCGGTTCATCAAAAACATTTAAATATTGGTACTTTTTTTTGGAGACAATCGATTTACTTTGGAGAATGCTAAGTGCTAAAAGAAATGGAGATTTTGAAAGTCATCTGTGACAATCGAAAATGCACTTGTGTTAAAAAAGCCCTAAAATGTTGTAACGAGTGTAAATGTCGTTCCTGCAACAACAGTATTAAAGATTAGATTAGAGTGTTATTAATGTAGCATTTAAATAATAAATATGTCAACGATATAAACCTTACTTTATTCTTACATCTTTAGTTTAATCTAATTAAAAATGTTTAATATACTATAATTTAATTAAAAATGTTTAATATACTACTAATTAGGTCCGCCGGTCGCACTCGCAGGCCGGAGCCGAGCGCGCAAGAATATGATTTTGGCCCGTTTAAGAAAAATCGCTGACTCGATACTATAAACCGACACATAAAAAGTTTTTATTCTAAAAACTTTTTTCGACTATTGGCTTCAATTTGTTCGCAGCATATATGTACAAATTTTTAGAAATAAACTTTTTTCTCGATTGCTTAAAATTACGCTACTGAAAATAACAAGTTTGAGTTTGCTGTTATTTTAACACATTAACAATTTTTTTTTATTTAAGTGAGGTATTGTTCAAACCGCTATTGTGTCTACTTTAATATGTAAAAAAAAATACCTCGATAGCACGATTATTTTCCGAGATATAGCGGTGGAGACGTTAAAAAACATGTTTTATAAAAAATCGACTTTTTTAAGTTTTCTCGAAATAAAAAAGTTCTCGACCACCAAAAAATGTCGTCAAAAGTGATTTTGTGTACTCGATTACCTTATTAAAGAATTGTACTAAGTCTGGTTTGGTTTTACGCCGGTTTTTTTTTTCTCAAAAACTAAGCGTCTTTACTTCCAAGTTTTAATTCGCTAGTTACACCTGCGTGAAGTTGGCCCTACCATGTTATGATAATTACACCAAAGTTGTACCAATATTTTGCAACTAATTTGCAACTTTAGGCAACCGGTATAAAAAAATTTGCAACCTTACATTTTTGTTCTAATCGCTAATACAAAATTGGTGGGACCAAATTCACGCAGCCCCACCACATCGTCGTATTGACCTCGAACCTTTTTCATAATTTAGCAACTAATTTGCAACTTTAGACAACCTTCGTGAAAAAATTTGCAACCTCGTGGTTTCATCGAAAACGAATCCCTAAGTTGATGGTGACAAATTCACGCGGCCCCACCACATCGTCGTAGTGACCTCGAATTTTTTCATAATTTAGCAACTAATTTGCAACTTTAGGCAACCTTTGTGAAAAAATTTGCAACCTCGTGGTTACGCCGAAAGCGAATTCCTAAGTTGTTGGGATTTAATTCACGCGACCCCGCCACATCGTCGTATTGCCCCCGAACCTTTCTCATAATTTAGCAACTAATTTGCAACTTTAGGCCACCTTCGTAAAAAAAATTGCAACCTCGTGGTTAAGTCGGAATCGAATTCCTAAGTTGGAAGGTGGGCCAAATTCACGCGGCCCCACCACATCGTCGTGTAGCACGCCAACATCTTTTTCTTAATCTATTTTATTACATACTAATATATTATTAAAATTTATAGTTACAATATTACAGTTTTACTTTAATAAATTAAGATGGTGATATAAATATAAGCACCATGTGCATATATTGTAATATTTAGTAGGTACCTACATTTTTGTATTTGATACGCAAATCATAATTAAACAAAACAAAATAAAATATAATTTAACATTTTAAGAGGAGCATATTATTAAATATTCCTATATCTGTAAAATATAAAACAATTTTGTCCACGCGACCACTTAATAATAAATCAATATTCTACTTCCTAACTAAAAGCATATGGTACCCATATATCACTGAGTGAATTATGATAATTCACGCTTTTCTAATTCTGGCAATTTCCGGTAGATAACTAAAGATGGGCGATACTTTTCATAACGATATTTTCTAGATCGAAAAATCGAAAATTCTAAAACGAAAAATCGAAAAATCAGAAATTCAAAAAACTGGAAAATCGGAAAATTGAAAAAACAACAGTTATATATGTTTAATAAAAACTTTCCATTCTACACTTAACTTTTATTTAATAAAGAAACCATAATTGTCGTGGACAAAGTATAGTATTAGGCTCGCAATTTATGGCCATTATTATTCACTCGGGTGAATAATGGCTACCATAAATTGCTCGTTTAATAATATACTATTAAGTAACCAAGAAGGGTGACTTAAAAGTTGTTTTAAAATTGTGCAATAATTAAAAAAGGACATTCTGGTTAAAAATAAAAGTTTTCTTGAAATACGTTAAAATAAAAAATGCATATTAGGAAACTACTGTTTTATATAAACCACTAAATGTGGGTTGACCTTGATTGTGACCTTGTTTTGATTTGGATTTTTTTTGTAGGTCATTGTGTAGTTCCCAATTTCCCTGTTTTCTTCTTATAACAGCTACACAATGGTCTAATCCATATGAAACTATATGCCATAAAATATATATCTAAAAACGAAAAATAATTATTTTTAATAACAATATAAATATATTTACTATTATTACCTGTCATCATTTAAATATCTCTGTAGGAAATTCATTTAGAGAAAATTACCCACCTTCCAACTTAGGGGAATTCGATTCCGACTTAACCACGAGGTTGCAATTTTTTTTACGAAGGTGGCCTAAAGTTGCAAATTAGTTGCTAAATTATGAAAAAGGTTCGAGGGCAATACGACGATGTGGCGGGGCCGCGTGAATTAAGCCCCAACAACTTAGGAATTCGCTTCCGACGTAACCACGAGGTTGCAAATTTTTTCACGAAGGTTGCCTGAAGTTGCAAATTAGTTGCTAAATTATGAAAAAAATTCGAGGTCACTACGACGATGTGGTGGGGCCGCGTGAAGTTGGCCCCACCAACTTAGGAATTCGTTTCTGGCGTATCCACGAGGTTGCAAATTTTTTCACGTAGGTTGCCTAAAGTTGCAAATTAGTTGCTAAATTATGAAAAAGGTTCGAGGTCAATATGATGATGTAGTGGAATTGCGTGAATTTGTCACCATCAACTTTAGGGATTCGTTTTCGGTGTAACCACGAGGTTGCAAATTTTTTCACGAAGGTTGCCTAAAGTTGCAAATTAGTTGCTAAATTATGAAAAAGGTTCGAGGTCAATACGACGATGTGGTGGGGCTGCGTGAATTTGGCCGCACCAATTTTGTTTTAGCGATTAGAACAAAAATGTAAGGTTGCAAATTTTTGTATACCGGTTGCCTAAAGTTACTAATTAGTTGCAAAATATTGGTACAACTTTGGTGTAATTATCATAACATGGTAGGGCCAACTTCACGCAGGTGCTAGTTACGAAATGCTGTTTCATGCTGCGGGACCTCTGTTTAAAAAACATCGTTTTTTTGGTTTCGATTTTCGATTGTAACATCGATGTTTTTTTTATCCGATGTTATTAGTGAACATCGATGTTTTTTTTTATCCAATGTTATTAGTTAACAGCCATGATTTCTTTTTCGATGTTTGTTAGCTTTACGTTTCAATTGATGGTCCGTAGACCTTTTTGTTTATTGCTCTTCAATGAATGTTTATTGAAAAACATCGATGTTTGGAACGTACTCCTATTTTTTGTTATTGATCCTCATGTCAATTTTCTGTCATCCTGCCAGCTGTTTGTTAAATGTCAATAGTCAATATACGTCAAATGTTTTGGGTCGGGTCGTGGGGGTATTTTAGTATTTAATTATTTATATTTTCCTGCCCCTGTCGGTTGTGTACATTTCACATAATTAATAAATATGGTTAATTATGGCATGAACAAAGCGTTAATGACATAAAAGGAGCGATTAAGTTCACCTTTAATTCATTCTCCATGTCCTTAATTAACAACCGCTCCTAATTTTATCAATTTAAAAAACACGACCCCCACACATTGTGGAAATGGCCGGAGAAGCTAGTCACAAGAAAAAAGGAAAGATATCCAGACAGGAGTCCAATAGATCTGCTAAAGATTCGGATATAGATGTGGACAGACCTATAGCTGGCGTTAGTTGTCAGGATAAAACCAGAAGTGGAATCCGGGTATACAAAATAGTGGTATTAGGAGACGGTGGGGTTGGAAAATCAGGTAATACATTTAAATTTACGTTATTAAGTGTTGAAAAAAATAATTATGTCTAGTCTGTATAACACATTTAAGTGCAGTGAAAAGGGACCATGTCACAATTTTACTTAAAATATTCAGGAAAGCAAATTTGAAGTTTGAAGACTTTATACTTTGAGGTAATTGATTACAAGAAGATGTTACTTTATTACTTAATTTACTTAGATATGTGTTATTTTTCAATCTTAATAGTAAAAGTGCTAAACAAACAGTATAAAAAGATGCTAAAACCCTGAATAATTTTAAATGTAGGTACCTATATGCCCTTCTTAGCTCTTTATTTGCTAATTTTGCTTATTACTTGGTAACATACAGGTATTTTACAAAAGATGGTGGCACCTGTTCAATTTTGACAAAAATGTGACTGTCCCTTTTTTTCTTGTACCCTTCATTTATTTTATAAAACAAATTAATTTTATGGTAGGTACTCATCTTGTTATTAATGTCATTTTGTAGAAATTATAATTAATTTTTAAACCATTGACCAAAATTAATTTAACAGACTTTTATTTACAGTTTCTTTTTTTTAATAAGCTCTGTAATGACAGTGTAAATAAATGGGTTGTATATTGGAGAGATTATTTTATTGAACAGAATATCTCAAGTAACTATTATCTTGGAATTTAACTAAATACAATTAATGTCCTAGGTTGAACAGCAAACCAAAAAAACTTTAGTTTAGTATGAATTTCAATTGTTAAAACATAAGGGTGGATTTATAAACTAAGTTCAGTTCGAGTTGGCAAGACATAACCACAAATTCCACAAAATAAAATTATATTTTGTTGTTATTTTTGTTTTAATTATATTTGTAGATGGTGTTGGTTATAAAATAATTATGAATCCGTTATAATTTCTTATCCAAAATATGCTTACCATGTCCTGATCACTAACTTGAATACAAATCAACAGTAAAAGATCTGGGTGTCATTTTTGATAAAAAAACTAGCATTGGTTGAACATATAAACTCAATCTCTATTAAAGGATCAAAAATGTTAGGATTTGTTATAAGTAATTGTAAGTACTTCTCCACTGATGCCACCAGAATGGTCTACTGCTCGTTAGTTAGATCCGTGCTTGAGTATATCTCAATTGTGTGGTCACTGATTCTGATACTTTGGAAAGGGTACAACACAAATATTTGAGAGTATGTGCAGTTGAAAGTAATGTCAGGATTATAGATCATGATTATAGTGCTATAGAAAGTCAATTAAATTTGCCTCCTTTAAGGGAAAGAAGAGACATATTTGGCTTAGTATTTTTATTCAAAATTTTAAATGGAATTATAGACTGTCCTCTTTTGAGCAGGATTAGCCTAAATGTTCCTTATTACCTTGGACTGAGATATCCATTAACATTTAATATACCATTTCATAGAACGAGCTATGGCGTCAATAGTCCTATTGACAGATATTTGTCTATGTTGAATAATCTTAATTTAGATATTTTTAATATGGGATTAGCCAAATTTAAAACCAATTGTAAAAATGTGATACATGTTCCTTAACTTATATTTAATGTATATTTAAATTCACCTTAAATAATTACTGTAAAAACTCACTTTTATACTTTGTTTTTTGTTTTGTTTTAGTAATGTTATATTAATAGTATTTTTCTACCTGCCTTTTTATATTTTTATATTGTAAATTGTATAAATTTCTTTAATGGGGTTATCCCGTATAATAAATAAATAAAAATAAATAAATACGTACCCTGTCATTCTGCTCTGTTTAAGTTGAACTCGAACTGAACGCGAACTGAATGTAGTTTATAAATCCACCTTAAAAGTACTCTTTCCTCTTAAGTGGATATTAAAATGATATCAATAATCTGAACCCTGAATTCCGTAATCAGAACTACCCTCTATATGCACTCGCTTCTTTAGTTTGTTTTATTTAAAAATACTTATATACTGATGTACATAAATTTAGATTTTTATAGCCATTATGTATATTTTTGTGGTGGGAATGTATTTGTATGGATAAGAAAGGTTTTTCCTGGTGAAGTTCCCATCCTTTGTTGATCATCCATTTTCATTAATATTGATTACCTGTAAAAAAATGATCTCTATGAAATAAACATTTCAGTTTTTAAAATATATCAGTAAACATAATATAGTAAAGTCTTTTAAAACTTTTATTACTGATTTTCTTTAATAAATAGCAGGCGGACAATTTCGCAAACCATATTAGTAAAATATTTAGACACCTAAATGATGAATATGACTATTACCGACTGTACTTATAGCCTGGCAAAGATAAATCTGACAAAGCAGTACACTTTTTGACATTGCCACCGATTTTTTTGTGGAAAAACGTTCAGATTAAGTGAAACTAAAACAGTTTTCCTTTAATTAGTTGTTAAAAGTGTGTATTAACATAGAGCCGAAATTTTGTGATACAATGTGTAATCTTACTGAAATAAAATAGTTTTTGTTATTTATGGCGGCATTAGATGATGCTTTCAACCCAACTTTTAATCATTTAATTATAATGAGTGATAAAAAGTATCTGGTGGCCCGTTATTGACCCGTTACAAGGTGGATATTAACTTTAATAATTATGTCTAGTAAGTACCTGCTGTATTTCTGGTTGAAAGTTACAATTATTATAGTAGTGTTTTTAAATAAGAACAGGGTGGCTAATATCGCGTTTTTCAATTTTCGATGGACGATTTAAGAGAAAAATGGTTAAATGTAATACCTAGGGCTGACTTTATTCCTTTTTAAAAGTAAAATTATACAACCAGGTGGATGTTTAATAAAAGTTCATATAAAAGCTAAGCTTAAACCAAATGGATGTCCCTGTATTTTTACAAATCTGCCTAAATGTTTGTCAAAACCGTCATCTACTCTCAAAAAATTACATAGTGAAAGAAAAAAAGAAGTATTTTCAAATTATTCAGCCACTTATTTCATATATTTCTTTGAATTTTCGGATTTTGATTTATGATTTACATAAATTCACAAATTTCACACTTAGGTTTATGTCTCTTAGTACATTTAAAACTTAACTCATGTAGACAAAGATATGAGATTAGTATGCATAAATGCATTTCTTGTATATAGGTATTTAAAGATTTAAGAACGAGCCTGACCGCCGTCTGGCCCGAACTAGCAGATCAAATTTCTGTGTAGGAATCTAGACAGTCAATGTCTAGAAGGAAGGGCACTTGTCTAGCATACAAGGATTTCAGGGTTCGATTCCCAGCTGCAACAGGATTTTTTCAAATCTCCAAGTATTTGTTTCCGACTTTCGAGTTCAGGGATGGTGTTATAGGGGATTTTTGAGATTTGTTTTTCCGAATTTTCAAATTATTCAAAAAAGAAAACTTCGAACGGTCTAATAAATTAGATAATATGTTTAAAAATATTATTGAAAGTTTTGAGGATCAAATGTTAAATTTTAAAACAAAAAGTAATCTTGATAATAACTGGTGTGCTAAAATAATTAAAAATCTTAAAATCTATTTTTACAGTCTAAATATGGAGCATAGATGATGCATAGACAATGCTTATACTCGTTGCGGTGTTACCTTTGTTTGTTCATGGCTAGAAGTACACTTGGTAATGGTATGACTGTCATAGGGGCAAAAAATACACAAATAAAATCGGTACCGGCCATTTTGGAAATAGGCGTCTAACACGCGAGGTCCAGAATATGGTGATGTCTACCTAACTTTTTCTGATTCTCCTATATGTACTTGATTCTGTCGGTTAGACAAATCAGTACTAAAATTTTTAAGGGACTCAAGTATATGTACTGTATTATCGCATAGTTTATGATTAGTAGCTCTGGCGCATTTCACCTTGTTTTTTTTATATTTTGTAGTTGTTTTTAATGTTTAATGTCGCCACTGATACTTTATTTCATATAGAAAGCAAAAAAGCAAACAATGATATTGAATAAACTGTATCTGCTTCTTAAAATAAATATTTTTGATTTTTTAATTCTGGAATAAATGGAATGTGTTTTTTTTAGCCGTTACACTGCAGTTCGTCAGCCATAGCTTTTTGGACTATCATGACCCAACCATTGGTAAATTTAAAAAATAAACCAATTAAATATTTTTTTGTTAATTTTAACGTTTTGTAGAGGACTCTTATCAACAGCAGGCTGTTATCGATGGAGAGCCGGCGTTGTTGGATATTTTAGATACGGCGGGTCAAGTAAGTATATTATTTAAAAAAAAAAAAAAAATAGAGGATAAAAATATACTTTATTTTTATGTATGTTTTAATTTTAAATGTTTTTGACTCTTACATTATTTTAGTATAAACAAACATATTTTTTAAAGTTAAGTCAAATTATATTATTTGTCATGATATTGCCATCGCAAAGACAAACTTTTTTATATTCTTTCAAAGATTTTGAATCTCTCTAAAGCAAAATATTTTTATTTTTTAAATCCTTGACTGCCCTATGTCCTTTAACTAATTTATCTTTTAATCTTGATATTTTATTCTTATATTCATCAATATTTTTTATATCTCTTTTTAAATTGGTGACTTGGTGAGATTCAGCTTCAATTTTTGATTTTCAGTAGTCAAAATCTTTCTCGGAATTTTTCAACAACTGAAATATAACAAAACAATCTTTCTTTATTTCTGTGTTAATTTTCAAGTTTGTATTATCTTTTATTTTCGAGATATTAAATAAATTGTAGTATTAGAAATCGAAAACCCTACAACCGTGTCTTAAGGTTACCCGTCACGCTTTCAGGTCGAATTCACCGCCATGAGGGACCAATACATGCGTTGCGGTGAGGGATTCCTCATCTGCTATAGCGTTACCGACCGCCACAGCTTCCAAGAGGCCCTCGAGTACAAGAAACTCATCCAAAAGGTGAGAGCCTCCGAGGACACGCCTCTGGTGTTGGTGGGCAACAAATTCGATCTTCACATGCAGCGAAAAGTCACCACGGACGAGGGCAAAGCCCTGGCTAGACAGTTCGGGTGTCCGTTCTACGAAACCTCCGCTTGTCTTAGGACGTACGTCGATGACGCTTTCCACACTCTGGTGAGGGAGATTCGGAAAAAGGAACGGGAAAAATTGGGGTTACCGGGTAACGATCGCAAGCCGAACAGGCACAGCAAATGGTGGCGGCTGAGGAGCATATTCGCGTTGGTGTTTAAAAGGAGGCGGCATCAGAATTATACCTCTTAGACGTTAGGCGAGATGGATTTTTTTCGGTTATTTTAAGAGATATTTCGCATAACGATTGCGCAGTTTTGATTAATTGAATATAGCGATTGTTGTACCACAGAAATTGAGATAAAAGAGGTGAGTGAGGCTGCACAACATTATAACGAATGGTTTTCTGCTAAATATTGGTATTTGTATCAAATTTACGCCAAATTAAACCCAATTCTATGTTATTGAAACAACGGCGCACCCAGATATTTTATTTGGGCGATTTTTAGTATGACATTTTGAATAACGTAAAATGAGAAAAAATGTTATTAAATCATTAACATTCTGGGGGTAGGGTTTGTTACCCCTAAAACACCTCCCTCGAGTACGCCACTGAATTGAGATGGGGTGGGCAAAATAATGGATTTTTTAAATCGATAATTTTAAATAATCGATTATTTATTTTGATAATCGCCCAGTCCTAATTGAGGTACATGTATATTATTTTAAAAAAAATTACCAATATAGAGAGAGAGCCAGTGACTGCTAGACCTACGTTATAGCACGAAGATTAGGATTTTTTGACTACGGGGAGTTCGACTGATAACAGGTCCTCAAGGTACCTAAGATTAAACGGTAACGTTTTTGAGTCTTGAGGAGTATTCCTTTAAGCGAGAAATTTTTTTTCAGGCGACAATTCTAATTTGTGGTCCTCCCCCAGTCCGTTACACGTATTACTGCAAATTATGCCCTTTGTTCAATGTTTTCCAGATCTCCGCCCCTGACCAGGATGGAAGGACAGGTCATCGGCAAACCCAATGGTCTTCGTCCCTCACCAAGTTGCAATCTTAGGGTCCCATCGTACAAGATGTTTATTAATAGTGTCCCAGGACCGACCCTTGTGAAACTCTTGCTGTGACTATTAGTGTTTACCGCCTTTTCTCTTTCTTCAAGGTAATTTCCAGGACGTTTGAAAGTGAAGATACACTGGCAGTCCGCGTCTTTTCAATTCGTTAATTATGATGTCTCATGATACCGTATTCAAATCATTTCTGGCAAATAGTTCTATATGACTAAATAATTTGAAAATTTGGAAACAAATCTCAAAAATCTCCCTACGAATTATTAAGACCATGCCCGAACCCCAAAGGTGAAAACATACAACCGGAAATCGAACCCGGACAACTTTGTATGCTAGACCATCATGACATTGACTGTACAGATTCCTAAACAGAAATTTGATAGGCTAATTCGGGACAGACGCCGTTCAAGATCGTTCTAGTCCGTCCGGCCCGAATTAGCACATACCTACAGTTTCTGTCTAGGAATCTCGACACTCAATTTCGTGATGTTCTAGAAGGAAGGGCACTTGTCTAGCATACAAGGATGTCCGGGTTCGATTTTCGATTGCCACAGGCTTTTTCCATATCTCCAAGTATTTGTTTTCACCTTTGGGGTTCGAGGGTCGTCTTAATAATTCGTAGGGGGACTTTGGAGATTTGTTTCCACCTTTGGGGTTCGAGGGTCGTCTTAATAATTCGTAGGGGGACTTTTGAGATTTGTTTCTGAATTTTAAAATTATTCAACTGCTTATTTCAGATATTTCTCTAACTTTTCGGATTTTGATTTGCGATTCTACGATAAATAAATTATTAATTTTCAGTTCTATATGATGTTGGCTGCCCCGGTTTTTAGATAAGAACTAAAAACCAGTCTAGCCTTCTTCTATTCTTTGGGAAATTTTTGCTTCATTAGGAGCTGGTTGAAGATACGCGATTTTCCACACCTCTTTCAGGTTTCCATTGGAATTCCGTTGACCATCGCTCTCTCCTTTTTTTAATTTGTGGACAGATCTGCCGGCGTTTGCATCCTCGCCTCCTCGTAACTATCCGCAACTGTATTCTGTTTTTAACTAACTGGCCAATCAAATTTTCGAATAGTAGCATCGCATTTTTATTAGCTATGAAGTGACGCTTATATATCACAAGGGGGTGGCTTTGTCGATTTCAGTGGTAAAGCAATGCTACAGAGACGGTACAAGGTGCAATATTAAATGTATCTGAACACCTACACGTTCTAATCTATTATAATGTACACATACGCGAAAAATCTTAATCTTCATACTATAACGTAGGTCTGACGGTTGCTGGCTCTTAGTTTCGAGGCAGCAGCTCCCGGTCCTTTAATAGTGGTATATTTTAGCGAACAAACGAATCATATGTTGACCAATGTTGCATTTAAAATAAATTATAATGAATATTCGAGATATTTGTTGTATAGTGTTTAGATTACGTATTGTTGACACAGTTAAGAATTTATTTATTGTTTTATTTTCAATGAAAAGCCGTACATGGAAGCTAAAAAAATTGTATGAGGGTTGTTCTTAAAAAACAATTAATTCTTTTAAATTTTTATATTTAAGGACACGATATTTGATAAACAAGCCAATAATCGCGGGAACACTCTCCTATAATCATCGAAAATGTAAATTTAGAATTTTTTTTCACTTTTAGTTACCATCAGATCTAGTAAAAAAAAAAATAATTTGTTTTAGACTAGAGTTACCTAATTTGAAATGTTTTAAAATTCACAATACCTACGAAATAAGTTGAAAAATAAATTTATATTTATGTACTAAGTATATAATATTTGGTTCTAGTCATTTTTATATAATTATATTTGTTGTACGGGGTCTGGCGATTTTGAATAATTTTTTATTATTCGTAGGCAGGTCTATGGAAAATCGTACAAAACTGGCAACTCCGATTTTACATAATTTTAGGCGCAGTTGCCGATTTTTGAGTAAACTAAATATGTTTAAAAAGATTCTTTTTGTTTGTGTATAACTTTAAAAGTGGACAATCAAAAATAAAAAAAAATGTTATTCATCGCGACTATTTAGAACCCCAGACCCTGCGTATATTGTAAGTAGGAAAAAAAACCAAATGTTAGAAAAAAGTAAGTGAATGTCTATAATATATAAATTATATATGTATACAAGCCAAGAATATAATAAAAATTGTAAAAAGAATTAAGAGCAATAATGTATTATTTATATAAACATTGTAAAACTATATTTTGTGCTAGTTACGTGTCCTAAGTAAGGTACAAGGTATTACCAGTTATTTTTTTAGAGCATTAAAATTAAAATAATAGCTTTAATGTAATATTTTTTATTTGGAAGAATAAAAAAAAGTATTCTTTTTTTTTGAACTCTTGTTTTATTAATTAGATCACAAATCTTCCTCGCCTTTACAATTTCAACAACAATGAAATAAAACTTACTACACATTTTAAGTTATATCCATCGCAAAGAAGAACAAAGGAACATTTTGTTGCTGGAATCAAGTTACAATGTGTCCACATGCTCACACTTACCACAGAACAAAATGCGATGTAGCTCTGGGACGCAAGCCTTTTGGGGGCGGCAATTTTTGGCAATTGATGTTATATATGTTTCGGCATAGTGTCATAAATTTAACTATTAAAAATGTAATCTATATTTCTCATAGTTAAAATAAAAGTTTATTTCCACCACCAAAAATTTTAATACAGTTCACACAACAAACAAATCATTGTGGTCCTTCGAGCCGGTTCTCAACGCAATGTAACTCGCTGAGATTGTTCGATCACCAGAGTTTGCAATGACGTAAATAGGTACGACAAGCGAGGACATTAATATACAGGGCCGTGCCGAAACAATATTTTCTTGTTATATTTTGAGCTTGAGCTATTTTCTCGAATAGCTTCGCAAATAAAATAGCAAATGACCAATCGTTTTTTACTAATCTGTAATATATAAAAATAATTATTGTGAGTGTACCTTAAGAGATAGACATGTGCTACACCTGACTTTTCTGAATGTCTTTTAAAACTACAATTTTCTAGTAAGTACCTATATTGTTTTGATGTAGGTAATCGTACGGAAACAGTTTTTTTGAAAAATCACCATATTTAAGCTATTTTATACAAACCTTTCTCGTGTATCACTCTTTCAATTAGTAAAACGCGTATCAAAATCCGTTGCGTGGTTTAGAAGAAGTAAGCGGAGAAATAGACAGAGGCCTACATTGACTTTGTTTTATACTATTTTTAGAGATATCTGTTATACAATAAAAGAGATAAACGTTCGCACTTACAAATCAAATACATGGGAGAAATGGTATACATGAGAATACACATAAAACGAACGAGTCTTCAACAATCTAGTATCACACGTGATCTGTTAAAATAAATATTTAATGAAAACGGCCGTTCTTATAGTGACTTTTATGATAACAGGATGCCATATCAACAGAAATAAAATTAGTGCTAATACGGCACCCATTAAATACTAGTGTCTCGGAAATATCCGAAATACAGTCGCTTTCTTTATTGTTTAAATGTAAAATGGATGAAACAAAAAATTACTGGATTTTGGCAGAGGCGGATATCGCGCATGGTGTCATGGCGGCGCTGACGTCATGCGTAGAGTTTGTAAAGTTGGCGCGAAGAAAATAGCACTTGACATACGGATGTCACAGTAGTTTTTTTAAGTGGTGTACAAATTAAGTCATTAATAGTAATTTATAAGATTTTAAGAGAATATTTTTATTATATTATGTTGTAAACTTTGTTGTTTGTGTGTGGAATCAGTGAAAAACGTTAATAAAAAATGCGGCGCAATTTACGGATGTAAAAGTGACAATCAGAACAAAGGATTTAAAAAAGAAGTTATGTTTTTCGCTTTCCTCGACAGAAAGAGGTTTGTCAGAAGTGGGCAGTGGCCTGTGGCCGTGCAGATAAATTTAAAACTTAAAATTCACATGTGTGTTCCAAGCATTTTCAACGTTTATATTATAAGAGGGATCTCAAAGCAGAACTTCTCAATCACGCTGGTTATAGGAATAAACGACTGTTAAAACCCGATGCTATACCAATATTAAATTTGCCCTTAAAATCGAGCAGCACTGAAGAAGCATCTACTAGTGACTGCAATGCAAAAATGGGGCGAGATGCACGGGCCGCCAAAAGAGAGCATCGACAAATAATTAAGCACATTGTGAAGGAAAGGTATGATTTTACCGTGACTTATTACTGCTTACTTACCCTTTTTTTTAAATTAGAACATCATTTAATATTTTAAATCCATATTTGGGCATGGTATTGGTGGCGTTTGATTTAGTTTAACTAATTTTCTTCGTTCGTATTTATTTGTAGCGAAAATTTGTAGGAAATCGTTAGAGATTGCGATGAAGTAGCACTTAATACTGCTAGTTGTGACAATTTTATTCCTAATACAAGTACCAAAGGGTTGGTTTTAGTTTTGCTTCATATTTTTAAGGATACTGTTTTATTTTATTTAATTTTTTGTCATTTTGCAATATACTTGACAACTATTGATATGTTTAAATGTTTGTATTTTAATACGATGGAGTCAATACCAATAGAGGCACTCGAAAGGAGATTTCGGCAGCTGGAGAAGGAAAAAGCTGTAGTAGAAAAGGTATTTTCACCGAGGCATATCCAAAAGCTTTCTGGGGGATCTAGTCGGTTAAAATTTAAGGCCGAGGACATTTCAAAGGCCATCGTTTTATATGCAAGTGGCCCTAGAGCGTACCGGTTACTCTTAAAAAGTAAATCGTTAAAATCTTGGAAAAAAAATTTCAAATTTCCCCAGGGATATTAAAAGCCGTTATCGAATTCATAGGCCGAACTTAACTTAACTTCGACTGAAAAAATATGTATTATGTCCTTCGATGAGATGAAAATACGAAGTGTGTACTCTTACGACACCCTGTATGATCAAGTTCTCTTACCGCATGCTTATGCTCAGGTTGTTCTTATCCGAGGTTTGGTAGGACACTGGAAACAGCCCAATTTTTTTTTACTACGATGGTAAAATGACAAAAGATAAACTCTATAGTATTATAACTAGTGTGGAAGACGCTGGATTTTTAGTGGTCGGTATCGTCAGTGATTTAGGCGGTGGAACTAGGTCACTCCATAAGGAATTGGGTGTAACCCATACAAAACCATACTTTTCCCGTCCACGTCCTAATGATGCTGCTAATAAAGTTTACGTTTTCGCAGACGTGCCACACTTGTTAAAACTAATTAGAAATAATT